CCATCCAGAGCAGGGCTGTCAAACCTGTTCTCAAACAACCAGTGAGGATAAAGTATTTCATTTCAGCCAAGCAAGAAAACACCAGACTCCATTCAAGAGTTCAGTCTTCACTCCTGCTTGGTTGGAATGAAATCCTGCAGCCAAACAGGCCTTTTGACGACTGCATTGACATCACTTCTCTAGAGACTGAAGACATTCAGGACGGATCTCATCCACTCCCAGGTTCTTGCACCGAGGAGGTCACCAACGGCCTCTGACTTCAGCCAGAGAGATGGAAGTATCTGTGCCAAGGTCTTCAAACTAGAGGACGGGGGTCGAGGAGAACCATAAAGTGTTCTTTCACCGCCCAACAGTCCCTCCAGTATCTACAGCTGCTCTGTAAACACTGCTGATCAAAGTGAATATAGATAATGCATTATAATTGTGGAAACGTTGATAATTATCTAAAGCGATGTATCAAAGGAAAACAATGGCATCTGGAGAAACTACAGCATCTTTGAAAAGCTCTTTTGCGCTCACTGCTCCACACTGAAGTAGACACACTCGCTCCATGTGTCATGTGACTGTCTCCTTCTGTTCACCTGCTCTGTGGCCTTGTACTGCAGACGTTTGGGAAAATCCTGATACAGAGCAAAATAAAAACACATCGTGATCCTTTGGTTTTCATGTGATTGAAACTAACCCACAGGAAACAAGTCCATACCTTTGCCTTAGCTGCAGCACCTTTCAGGGATCTGTCTGCAAAGAAGAATGGGTCAAAACTGAGAACGAGGAGATGCTATTTAGACAACATGAGAAAGTTAATCAAAAAGGACACACCAAACTTCTTTCTCAAACAACAGATCAGAGAATCAAACAGCTCGAACACAGTAAATGCAATAATAATCGATGGGTCAATAGGGAGCGGGACGACCACTGTCTAGAAATATCCTGGATCATCCCTGTCCTTAGACCCTCCTGCATTTATGATTGTTTGTTTGTTTATTTATTTGGAGGATAAGCCCCTAGAGATGAAACATCTCGTTTTCGAGGGGGTCCTCAAAATTGCACAAAATGACAGATGCAGTAAGGCAGACAGTAGAGCAAACAATATAAAAAAATTCATAAAAAATAATACAAACACAAAGACAAAGGACACATAAAAACACACTCTCACACACACACACACTGATTGTTTCTGATATAACGTCTGTTATAAATTAACAGAGATTACAGCTAGTATCCATAGTAGTACATATCACTGAATATAATGTAGGTGCATATGCTCAATAACATTGGCATGGGTTCTGGAGGTATTGGACCAAAGCATTCTTAAACAGAGGCAGAGAAGTGAGAGCGCGGATGGATGAAGGTAAACTGTTCCAGTCGGAAGGAGCTTTAAATTTGAACGAATGTTTTCCTACTTCTTTCTTAACTCTTGGGACAACAAAGAAACATTGGTTTGCATGGCGCAAACTGTAAGTGGATCGCAGAGGAGTCAAATATTGTTTTAAATAGTCTGGAAAACTTAAATTGATACATTTAAAAATAAACAGCAGCCAGTGAAGCTGACGTCTGGAGGACAGAGAGAGCCACGATAACTGCTCGTAGAGAAGACAGTGGTGGGTCCTAAAGGGACAGCGGAGAATGAACCTGCACAGGCTGTTGTATGTGACATTCAGAGGCTGGAGGATGGAGGCTGAAGTGTTCTGATAAATGATGTCACTGTAATCAAGAATAGGAAGGATCAACTGTGAAATAATTATTTTCCTAACTGAAAAACTGAAGCAATTAATTGAATGATAAAGTAATTTTAGACGATATGAAATTTTGTTTGAGATTGTCTGTATGTGTTTGTTAAAGGAGAGTGAGGTGTCAAGCCATAAACCAAGGTATTTAAACTGATCAACAATTGGGAGTGGTGACTTGTCTAAAAACAGAAGATTAATTTCATTTGTAGAAATGGGACGAACTCGTTTCTGGAACAACATAAAATTGGATTTGGATTTATTGAGTAAAAGTTTGTTTGATTGTAGCCAGAGTTGAACTGAATTGAAATCAACTTGAAGAGAATTTTGAATGTCAGTAATATTTGATTTAGAGCAATAAATTACTGTGTCATCAGCGTAAAGTTGTACATTACAGTCGTTGCATGTGAGAGGCAGATCATTTATAAAAATGGAAAATAATAGTGGCCCAAGTGAAGAGCCTTGTGGCACACCTCTCTCAATACAAGAGAAACCGGAATAGCTGCCTTTGTAAAAGACACATTGCTGTCTGTGATGAAGGTAGGAGTTGAACCAGAGAAGTGAGGACCTGTCCAGACCGACTGAGTGGAGTTTGTCTAAAAGGAGATAGTGATTGACCATATCAAAAGCTTTTGTTAAATCAATAAATAAAGCACCAGTGAGCAGGTTATTGTCAAAACCAGAAAAAAATTCATTTGTGAATTTTAATAATGCAGATGTGGTTGAAAAATGTTTTCTAAATCCAGATTGAAATGGAGAGAGGAGATTATTGGTTGATAGATATTGAGACAGTTGATTAAACACAATTTTTTCATATACTTTGACAATACTATTGATGATAGAGATGGGTCTGTAGTTATTTATATTATTTGAGTCACCACCTTTGTGGATGGGGATGACCTTTGCACATTTCCAGGCGGAGGGAACTTCACATGTTTGAAAAGATAAATTAAAGAGATCTGCCAAAGGAAAACAAAGACCATGAGATGCAAGCTTGATGAACTTGGTCTCGATGCCGTCTGGACCAGCACTGCAAGGGGATAACCCATTTAAAATCTTATTAAATGGGTTATTCTTATTATTATATGTTTAGTGGATTGAAAATCTCAATATTGATCTAAAATGATCCCATTAAGAGTTGACTCTGCTTCTTTCCTCTGTCTGTGTTTGGTCAGAGGAGAATATGAATAACTCAAAAACCCCTGTGAGTGTAAATGACAAAGATAAATGATTATAGTAGGTCACTTATGTTTGCTTTAATATAAGGTTTGGTGAGGTTGTATCACCTTTAAAGTTAGTTTGCTGAGGTCTAAGCCAGATTTAGTCTTTTGTCTCTTTGTTATATTCACACCACATGAAATAAAGCTTCAACAGTTCTTACCTGTGTTGATATTTGTGCACAAGCAGAAAGAGAGTCCAACAACCAGACTGGTGCTGAACACAGACACTCCACTCTAGACATAGACCAACATCTCTGAGACTTCTATAAATGAACAGAAAGGGAATGATCAGACTGTTATTGGGTTTATTCCAAAGATGTAGCTCACCCCTGATCCTGACTTCGGTTCTGTTCCCAAACAGGACTTGTCCACAGAGGTCCACAGCGCAGTAGTACGTCCCAGTTTGCTCTGAGCTCAAGTTATGAATGTGGAGGTTATAGAAGCAGGAGTTTGTTGCGTTTATTTTGATCTTCGCCGTAGAACACTGCTGCAGACTCTTCAGACTGTCTGAACCAAAGGACCCTGTGTGGCCCCAGACACGTTCCAGAATCAACCTCACAGCAGAGGACCAGAGAGCGTCCTGCTTCCACTGGTTCTGACGCTGTTTGATGGACGCCGAGTCCAGGGATCAAAGTCTTTACAAAGACGTGAACAGACGCTAAGAACTCGATTTAATGAGCCACTGCACTGAGGCAATGATAAACAGCTGAATCAGAAATTCTGACCTGTGATAGTTCAAGATTGCTTTTGTAATCTTCTCGTACATCTGGTCACCCGTGACCAGATGTACAAGAATGAGGCAACAGACCATCTGCACAGGAGCCCTTCTCTTCAAACTCTCTTCTTCACTGAACTGACTTTGTCAAGAAACAAGCTCGACTCTGATTGGCCGAGCTGAAGTCGCACCACACAGTGACATGAACACTTAAAGATTGGGGAGATTGGTGTTTTTCCTCCGCATATACCCACAGACACAGACACACCTACAGCATCCTTATTGGTTTGAGAGAAACGTAGCGAACAGAGGCAAACTGGCTTTTTTAAAGTGTGAGATTTCATAACACTTTGAAGCAACTTTTGTTAAAGTTAAACTCATCATTCTACCAATGTGCAGAAGCCTGTACTTTTCCACTACTTGTTTTGATTATCTCTGATGGCACTGTGGCAGCTGCTGATTGGAGGTCTCTGTTTCTCCTGAGTGTATTACAACTTGCTGTCGTAACATCCCTTGTTCGTGTTGTTCGTGCTGTCTCCACCAGCAATTGACAATAAAACATGTCTTCTGTCTGAATGAAAGACACGATCCCAGACTTTGGCTGATTCTTCTTCAGGTGGTGGAAGGATGCGGGCATTCTTTATAACATCTACAGAACAGAAGACTTTTGTCTTTTTTTTTTTTTTTTTTCAAGCCAAAACGTAAAAACCTTAAGAGAAACTATGCATCTGGATCAGCACATGGACAATCTGCACAGCCCCTGATTCCAGTCAGGCTGTGAGCTGCTGAGACATGGACAATACCATCGTCCTCTTTTGCATGGACATGATTTGGAACAATTGGATTACACAATTTGGAACAGATTTTATTTGTATAGCACAGTTCATACACAAGGAAACTCAAAAGTGTTTAACAAAACAAGACAGAAACAATCACACAAGGCATTAAATCATTTATAATCACTGTACATTAAAAAGAGTAAAGATACAATCTCTCAGTTGTATACACAGCTAAACAGAACTGTTTTTTACCTGGATTTGAACATTGTCCGAGAAGAAGCCTGTCCCACATTTTTAGGAAGACTGTTCCAACTGTGGTCTCCTCACCACTAACACACAGCTGAGCTAAAGCTCGGTGTTCCGATTTACAGGTCACTGGTTCCCAAACCTTTCTGGCTGGGACCTCACTGAAGAATAGATAGTAGCTGAATCCAAGGAAGTCTTATTATGGGAGTAATTAGTTGTGGCAATTGATATAAGTTCACTGAAATGCTGATGTCTAAGAGAGAGAGATATATGTAGTAAGTATTGTATAGATGTGGTGGTGGAGGCAGTGAAGCTACAGGTGAACTCTGGAGTAAACACAGTCTGTCTGAGCCGTGACTCTCTGTCGTCTGGAGGAAGACTGCACGTTCAGAGCAGCGTAGTGAAGAGAGTCCTCGTCCTGCTCCTGACAATAACAAAAACAGACACACATTTATGTCTCTTCACAATGTAATTAATAACACACACTAGTTTTAATGAGAAAAAGAATGAAAAGAAGCTAGTCCTGCATAAACCCAGGTTTTTGGGTGGTAGACTTGTAACGCCCGCATAGGTCCTTACCTTAGTGTCACTCAGGAGGGGTGACATTCGGTATTTTTCAACCAATTTTGTGTACCAGGTCTGTGTTGTGTTTTGTTTCATAAGTCTCCAGGTACTGATGCTATTATTGTTTTGCCATTGGTGGCGCGCTTGGGGACTCTATTTAGGAGTGACGGGCACGAGCGCGGGGGCGCGGGTGTTCTGACGTCAGACGCCGACTTGGAGTCAGGCCAGCACCTCTACCTGGAGTTTTTGTGGATTATAATCTCTGTTGGAGTATCGTTCTTTTTGGATTACCGTGTGCAGAGGGATCAAACGAGACTCTGTGGATTATCTCTCCATGGTTGCTGGTGGGCTCCAGGACCCGTTTTTGTGAACCTTGGTGCATGCGCGGGGCCGTGAGTACACCGTGGCTTCACCACTGACACTGACCCTTTCTTTTTGTTTCCACATATCGAGTTCTTAGTGGCTGTTTGTGATCATATTATGTTTTGTTGTGTGGGGTCGCGCTCGAGCGTGGGGGGGTGTTGGCGCAGTGTGAGTTGACTGGGATCAGTAATAAATAGCCAGTCTTGTGCCAAATGCATGTTCTGTATCTGTGCTTATTTCACCCCGCTGATGTGACATCTCCTCTCGCGACCCTTTTAAAGCGTTGTAGCTCTGGTGTCTTGGAAAGTTAGGCAAATTGTTACAGACTGGTGGCCCGTACGAGGACCGCGGAGTTTCTGTACATCAGCGGCGTTCGTGTCGAACTTTTACGCACGGGTTACGCGCACTACCTTCCGCGCGCACACGCATATGCTTCATTCATGAGACACTCCCCTGGCTCCCCTAAATCCCTCACGCATTAAGCGACATTCACACCAACAAAGCATGGCAGATCCAGTCCAGAATATACTGGATGAGGACAGAGGAGAGGAGAATGCAGTAGATGACACACCGGTACTGCATCCTTCTTATCATGTCACTCTTAGACAAAATCAAAGTGGAATGTCTGAGCTCACGAGCCGGTTAGAATCCATGTATTTAAACGAGGCAGAAGACGAGAATGACGAGGCGGGGAATGACATGGGCATGGAGAGAGTGTTTGAGGAGCTCAATACATTAAAGGGGACCGCAGATGCCCTGGAGACTCGCCTTAAAGAGACAGTGGACAGTGCTCTGAGCAGAGAGGAGGGGCTAAGAGCGGCAATGGATGTGATGGCAGGAGAATTCAAAAAGTATGTGGATGGAAAGCTACAGCGTTTTGATGAAGTTGTCACAGACTGTCTATTACGCAGGGACCAGAGGTGGACGGAGGAATTAAAAAGGATCCAATCGAAGTCCCGGATGTCCTGGGGACCCGTTAGTTATTCTACGCCTTCCATCCCTGCACATTCTTCACACCGGCGACTAAGCGCAGACGAGACCTGTCCCACAGTACCCCCAGCCGCAGCCAGACCCCCCATTAGAATGGAGTTTCCTCAGTTCGGAGAGTCGCGAAATTCTTCTGACGTCACGGACTTTGTTGAGCAGTGTGAGAACTTTTTAACCCTCAGACCACTGAGTGACATAGAGCTGATGGGAACGCTCAACACAGTTTTAAAGGGCCCTGCACGCAGTTGGTGGTTGGCCGCCCGCAGTAAAATCTGCAACTGGACGGACTTTAGGAAGTCCTTCCTAGAGGCGTTCTTACCCATGGACTATCAGGCGGAGATTGAGGATCAGCTCAGGACCAATGTGCAGGCCCCAGGCCAATGCCTGAGAGATTTTGCGTACGACCATCGAGCTCTCTGTCTAAAGTGGAGACCAGATATGACGGAGGCAGACATGGTGCGTCGCATCCTTAATGCTTGTAACCCTAGGCTGGCTAGCGGGCTGCGAGGCACAGTTACCACCGTTGAACAGCTGGTGAAGGTGGGCTCTCTTATTGAGAAAGACTGGAGCAACACAAAGGACTATTGGAGCAGAGTTCAGCAGTCACATCCTCCTAAAAGGGTGGGCAAAAAGAACGACCATGGTCCAAACCGGAGCTCCGGTGGCGACGTCGCTACAGCTTTGGGCGAGCCGTCTCTCCTTGTCGTGCCGGTCTACCTTCGCGGTTCCAAAGGCGATGCGGTACTCGATTCGGGATGCACTTACTCCCTCATGAGCCACTCACTATGGAAGGCCATCAAGAAGGACGGAGAGATTCTAGCGTCGAGTGAAATCCCAAAGTTCGTAATGGCCAATGGTCAAGAGAACAAGGCTCTTGGGAAAGCCACCTTGCTCTTTTGTCTCCACGATTTCCATGGCATGCTCGGAGTCCACGTTCTTGCTGACGACAACCTCTGCATGCCACTTCTCTTGGGACTCGACTTTATGTCCATGTGCCAAGTAACTCTGAAGCCACATTGTAGACGTTACATAATGCCGGGTGGCAAAGAGTACGCGTTTCTCCCCAAAGTAAGAGCAACGCTGCACTGGAGTCACAAGCCACCTTCAGTGAACTTTTACGTTGCTGAACAAACCCACACTGTCATTCCCCTCCTGCAGGCTCAGCCAGAGGAGGTGCGGCCACTGCTGCAGAAGTGGTCCAATGTCTGGACTGAGGCTACTGGAGCCACACAAGTTATAAAGCACAAGATAATAACCACCGATGAAGTACCAGTGCGGAAAAGAGCCTACAGAGTATCGGCCCATAAGCAAGCTGTTATCGAAGAACAAGTCCAAAAAATGCTTGACAATGGTGTCATCGAGCCATCCGCATCCCCTTGGTCCTCTCCAGTGGTCCTCACTCCGAGAAAGGATGGAACTCCACGATTCTGCGTGGACTACAGGGGCTTAAATGAAAAGACGAGGCATGATGCGTATCCCATGCCCCTGATTCATGAGATTCTAGAGTCCCTGGAAGGCGCTCAGTACTTTAGCTCCCTGGATTTAAAGAGTGGGTACTGGCAGGTTGCTATGGACGATGAGAGCAAGCTCAAAACAGCCATGACCACCCATCTGGGCTTGTTTCAGTTTAAGGTCATGCCTTTCGGTCTGCGCAACGCTGGGGCTACGTTCCAGCGACTGATGGAGATTGTCCTAGGCGAGTTGAGGGGAAAAGTCTGTTTCGTATACATTGATGACATTATAGTCTTTTCCAAAACGGAAGAACAGCACCTCCATGACCTTGATGCAGTGTTTGCCAAGCTCCACCATGCAAACCTGACGCTCAACGTAAAAAAATGCTGTTTGTTTCAGCGCCAGCTCACCTTTCTCGGCCACCTTGTCTCAGAAAAGGGAGTAGAGGTGGATCCCACCAAGGTGTCGGCTATCATGGAGTTCCCTCCACCGACAGGGATAAAAGGTCTCCAACGATTCCTGGGTATGGTCGGATGGTACCACAAGTTCATTCCGCGATTCGCTGACATTGCTGCACCCCTGAACCATCTAAAAAAAAAAGATGTGCAATGGGAGTGGTCTGCGGAGTGTCAGAGTGCCTTCGACCGACTCAAGGTCCTGGTTCAATCACCACCAGTCCTAGCCCAGCCACAACCTCAGCTCGGTTTCCAAGTCCACTGTGATGCCAGTGATGTGGGATTGGGAGCCATTCTCACACAAGAAATCGACGGTGAGGAGCGTCCTGTGGCGTTTGCATCCCGAGCTCTTCAGGGCGCCGAGGTCCGATATTCCACCGCTGAGAAAGAATGCTTGGCGGTCGTGTGGGCAATAGAAAAGTGGAAGCACTTCCTTGAGGGCACCACATTTGACGTGTACACTGACCACAGTGCCCTGGCCTGGGCGTTCAACTGCCCCAAGACATCCTCACGCCTCACCCGCTGGACATTACGTCTTCAAGCGTTTACCTTCAGAGTCCACTACAAAAAAGGATGCTGCAACGTGGTTCCTGATGCCCTCTCACGTGCCCCCATTCCCCAAGCTGGACAGGTTTGCCTGACTGTGCCAAAAACATATTGGTCAGACATCCCTTGTTCCCTGCAGGAGATTGCTAAGGCCCAAGAGGCGGACCCTTCCTGTCAAGAGCTCGGGCCGTCTGACCGCCAAGCAAGCCCGGGTCGCATCCATTACCAACTCCAACAGGACGTGTGGTACAGAGGCGTACCTTCCAAGTACGGAGGTTTTAATTACCAAGTGGTGGTTCCGGCCGCGTTGGTGCCCCAGTTCCTGTTGTACTATCACCACAGTCCATTTGGTGGACATCTGGGCAGGATGAAAACCCTTTTGAAGATCCTCCAGGTGGCCTGGTGGCCATCTGTCCGCAACGACGTCTGGCAACACGTCCGTACGTGCACTATCTGCCAGCAGTACAAATGTTCCCTTGGAAAGCCGGCCGGGCTCCTGCAGTCTACTGAGGTCAAGGTTCCGGGGGAAATGATCGGTGTGGACTTCATGGGACCATTCCCACTCAGCAAAGACCGCAACTCCGTGCTAATGGTAGTTGTGGACTACTACAGCAGATGGGTCGAGGTGTTTGCTTTGAAGGATGCCAAAACCCCCAAAGTCTGCAAGGTCCTGAAAGATGAGATTTTTACCCGCTGGGGCGTTCCGAAGTTCATGGTGTCTGACCGAGGCCCTCAGTTCACAAGCCATCTGTTGGCCCAACTGTGTGAAACCTGGGGCGTCACCCAAAAACTCACCACAGCCTATCACCCCCAAACCAACATGACAGAGAGAGTTAATCGCACCCTCAAGACCATGATTGCCTCTTATGTTGGGAACCAGCACCAAGACTGGGACAGGTGGCTGCCTGAGTTTCGGTTGGCTCTTAACACTGCGGTACATGAGACCACCGGCGTGACACCTGCCATGCTGACTCTGGGTCGAGAGCTCCTGGGGCCACTTGAGAGACTTGTTCACAGAGCTCCTGCTCCACATACACCCGCATACCAGACTCTTCAGACACACACTCAGTTAAGGGAGGAGGTTGCGAGACACGTTGTCGCGTCCAAAGCCAGACAAGCCAGATACTATAATGCACGACGCAGGGATGTACACTTTGCTGTCGGTAGTCTGGTCTGGGTTAGGTCGCATCCGTTGTCCAAAGCTTCTGCGAGATTCTCTGCCAAACTTGCACCCAAGTGGTTAGGGCCGGCTAGGGTAGAGAAAAGCTTAGGACCTGTAAATTACCAAATTTGTTGGTTGTCCGATAAGAAGAAGGTGGATACTATAAACGTGGTAGACATGAAGCCCTATTTTGGACCCGTCAAGCCGCTGGCTGGGGGGGGGGGAATGTAACGCCCGCATAGGTCCTTACCTTAGTGTCACTCAGGAGGGGTGACATTCGGTATTTTTCAACCAATTTTGTGTACCAGGTCTGTGTTGTGTTTTGTTTCATAAGTCTCCAGGTACTGATGCTATTATTGTTTTGCCATTGGTGGCGCGCTTGGGGACTCTATTTAGGAGTGACGGGCACGAGCGCGGGGGCGCGGGTGTTCTGACGTCAGACGCCGACTTGGAGTCAGGCCAGCACCTCTACCTGGAGTTTTTGTGGATTATAATCTCTGTTGGAGTATCGTTCTTTTTGGATTACCGTGTGCAGAGGGATCAAACGAGACTCTGTGGATTATCTCTCCATGGTTGCTGGTGGGCTCCAGGACCCGTTTTTGTGAACCTTGGTGCATGCGCGGGGCCGTGAGTACACCGTGGCTTCACCACTGACACTGACCCTTTCTTTTTGTTTCCACATATCGAGTTCTTAGTGGCTGTTTGTGATCATATTATGTTTTGTTGTGTGGGGTCGCGCTCGAGCGTGGGGGGGTGTTGGCGCAGTGTGAGTTGACTGGGATCAGTAATAAATAGCCAGTCTTGTGCCAAATGCATATTCTGTATCTGTGCTTATTTCACCCCGCTGATGTGACATCTCCTCTCGCGACCCTTTTAAAGCGTTGTAGCTCTGGTGTCTTGGAAAGTTAGGCAAATTGTTACAGACTTCCACCTTCATCAGAGGAGACACGTGACAGTGACGAGTCTCTGATCTGCTGCTGTTACTGATGCGT